GTTTTTGATTTCTCAACAGAAACTCTACAAGCCAGAAGGGAATCATGTGATATATTTAAAGTGATCAAAGGGAAGAATATACAACCACGAATATTCTACCCAGCAAGACTCTCATTCATATTTGATGGAGAAATCAAAAGCATTTCATTCCTTTTTAAGGCTAAATAATATTCCATTGTATGGATAGATCACATTTGTTTATCCATTCATCTGTTGATGAACGTGTGAGTTGTTTCTACCTCTCAGCTCTTAGGGGTAATGCCGCTATGAACATACATATACCAGTTTTCCTGTGGATATATGTTTTCTATTCTCTTGGGTGTTCTCAATTCACCCAAGAGTAGAATTTCTGGGTTATATAGCAGCTTTTTTTTTTTAACCTTTTTTAAGCTTTTGAGGAATTCCCAGATTATATTCCAAAATGCCTGCATCATTTCACACTCCCACCAGCAAAATACGAGGGACCCAATTTCTCCATATCCTTCACTGTTGTTTTTAGAGTAACTTTCCATGGAAGTATAAAGAATACAGAAAGGCACACATATCAGAAGCGTACAGCCTGATGAATCTGCACAAAGTGAATGAGCCCACCATCTGCCACCCAGGTCAGGGTCGAGACTACGAGCAGCATCACAGACGCTTTACCTCCTATAGGTGACCACTAGCTCACCTTCAAACTGGAGGGTTTTACATGCTGTAGGACTTTATCATATAGTAAGTTCTTATTTGTATTTGACTACTTCCACTTGATATTATGTTTGTAAGGATCATTCATGTTGTAAAATATAGCACTATTTCTTTTCCTTAGGGTAAATGGTATCAGTAAAAGACTTTAAATGTTCTATTTGTCTGTTGCTATGAAATAAGAATAAAACTGATTTTTGTTTTTAATACGCCATGTTGACTAATGTAAGGTTTCAGACTTTCTTTATCTCAAGCCAAGATTCCTGAACTATCTTTATTTATCTTTAAATTTATTTATTTTTAATTCTACTGTGTAGCATGTGGAATTTTAATTCCTGGACTAGGGATCGAACCCATGTCCTCTGCAGTGAAAGCACAGAGTCTTAACCACTGGACTGCCAGGGAAGTCCCTGTTAACTTATCTTGTATTTAGCAATCTTCCAAATTTACTTTTTAATTCTAATAAATAATCTACACATATCATTATTATTCTCTCAGACTTTCTGTGTACACAATCAAACCATCTGAAACATCAGTTTCTTTTCTTCTAATTCTTATCCACTTCTTTCTTATGTATATGATTTCTTGATTGCACAACTGAGTTTCTTTGGGAAAACGAACATCTTTTAAAATGTCAGTTTTGTTCACCCTGTGAACAGTGTTGACAGTTTATACAATGAAAACCAGAGTGGCCCCTGCTGTCACCCACAGTGGCGACGGCATCCTCAGCATGGCTCTCTGTGGCCTCTCTCGGCCAAGCACGTGGCGCCTCCTGCAGGAGCAAGCGTTCCCATCACTGTGGGACTGCGCCGGCCACGCTCCAGGGACACTTAGACCCAGAGAGCTGTTGCCAAGACCGGCTGTGGCCCTCGGGGGACACTGCTGCTGAGCCCGGAGGAGCTCAAGAGACCCACAGGGAAGTCCAGGGACAGAGGGAACTGAGAGGCCGCCCTCACACCCGCATGCTCACCCGGCAGGGAGGACCGGGGTCTTTGGGACGCCCAGCTACCTCTGCCCGCTCCTCTGGTGGCTCAGCGGTAAAGAATCCACCTGTAGGGAAGGAGCCACAGGAGACGCGTGTTTGATCCCTGGGTTAGGGAGGATCCCCTGGAGGAGGACATGGCAACCCACTCCAGTATTCTTGCCTGGAGAATCCCACGCACAGAGGAGCCTGGCGGGCTACAGTCCAGGGGGTCACAAAGACCCGGACACGGCTGAGCGACTGAGCAGCAGCAGCAGTTACCCGTGCTGCCTGCTGTTCTGTTCAAGTTGCGATCCTGAAAACTAACTAAACTAAGCCAGGTCTGCAGGGGGGCCTACAAGCGGTGGTCATGGGCAGCTGAGTAACTGAAGGCCTTTGGAGGAGTAGCTGTGGCTGACGGACATGGGGACTGACGTAAAGCTGCTCATCCTACGACAACCACTGTGTCAGCGTCACTCACGGTGAGGTGACTTGAAGGAAACAGGCTGTGCATCTCGGTGGGGTGGGTGGGGAGAGCCGCTCACAGGAATTTGGGCAGCTCTCTGCAGTGGTATCGCAGGTTCTAATACTATAATCACAGCCCCCATGGCACAACACTACCCGGCATAATCCGCAAGGATTTCCAGGATTTTCATCCTCCACAGCCAACCGGGGTTTCTTCTTGGCCTGTGTGGTCGAGTTCATGAAATAAAGAGCATTGTGTTCATCCTCCAGCTACAGCTCTGACTGGAGTGACAGGCCGGGGCAGGCTTTACAGTCACATGCATCTGTGGGGTCAAATAAAGGGCTGAGTGTTCTCTGTGGGGCCTCTCTGAATTTCGGTGGTATTACTTGTTCATAGAATCTGCCTGCAATGCAGGAGACCTGGGTTTGATCCCTGGGTTGGGAAGATCCCCTGGAGAAGGGAAAGGCTACCCACTCCAGTATTCTGGCCTGGAGAATTCCATTGACTGTATAGTGCATGGGGTCGCAAAGAGTCGATCATGACTGAGTGACTTTCACTTCACTGAGCTTCACTTGTTAATAAAAGTGAATTCTATGTGATGAGGCATTCTTCTTAATAGCCAAAGAGTGGAAACAACACAAATGTCCATTTGGATGAATCACATGTGGTATAAACCATACCATGGACCACTATTCAATCATCACAATGAATGAAGTACAGATACACGTTGCAGCACAGATGAGCCTTGAAAAGTGCAAGAAGCCAGGCACAAAAATGTCACCAACAGGAAAATCCAAAGAGACAGATTACTAGTTTCCAGGGGATGAAGAGAGAAAACAGGGAGTACCTGTTAATAGGCATGGGGGTTCTTTTGAGGGGAGATGAGAATGTTCTCAATTAGATGGTGGCAATTCACAATACTGTGAATATATTAAAACCAATTAAATGCATGCTTTAAAATGGTGAACCACATGAGTTTTAGTGAACTCTAAACCACATGAGTTTTAACTCAAAAAAAGTCAATTATTTGCAATGACATTAATTTTCTCTTGAAAGATCAAGCATCAAAAGTATTCTAACAATCTGAAAGCTTTCTCCATGATGGCCTGAGGAACTTGGGGGTGGGGGACTGTGCAGCACAGAGGCTGGTTTCCACGTGTGGTTGGTAGAAACAGCCTTTGGGTGGAATAATCACACCTCTGTTTGCAGCCACATCCACGGTTATGGGACACATCGTGAAGCTGCGCCCTCTGCTTCACTTTGATTTAAGAAACATGGAATCTGTGTGTGTAGGTCCACGGTGCCTCTGCAGGACTGAGGGGGCCACACCACTCTGGTCTCTCCACGTCACGGGTCCCATAGGCATCGTGACCCCACAGTACTCCTGCTGTGCTGGAGTGCTGCAAGGGCAATGGCCTCTAAGCAGCCAGAGTCTTAGCTTCATCAACGCAGAGGTGGGTCTTGGGTGACCCACTAAAGGAGTCATCACCTCCTCACAAGAGAGAATGAAAGATGAAAGCTCCCTTCTGTTCAATTAGCTTCTTTTCAAGGATCAGAGCCTGGCTGGCAGGTGGAAAATTCCACACTCTAATGAAACAAAAGGGAGCCAGAAGGGAGTGTGGATAAAGGGCACAAGTACAGTTTCCCTGCATTCTTCCTTGGGGGCTCAGAAGGCAGTCCTATGTTCCAGAAGTCCTGGTTAAATCTCAATGCGCTTCCCTATGGCACAGAGAGGAACCAGGTCGATTTCAGTACTTCCGTCATCATGGGATGAATTTATGGGCATGTGAGGAGTGATTTTCTCTGGTAAATGGACTGTGGCATGAAAAGTTACCGAAACACATCATGAAACAGGCTCTCTCTTTTCAACCATAAACCTGCTTTCATCAAAGGAGAAAAGCTCTGTAACTCTCACACCTCTCAGCTTTTGTAACAAAGAGAAAGGAGTCAGTCCTTGGCAGGCAATGGTATCTAGGTGAGAATTCATGAACAGAATGTAAAGCATTGTGCTCCTTTTTACTTTTTATATTAATTGTTTGTGGCAAGGATGGCAAGCTTTCCACTAAAGGTGGTGATATTTATGTCACTCAGAAATTAATGTAAGTTTTTTTTTTAAAGCCATTTACTCTAAAGAAAACAAAAGAAAACTAGAGGTGGTGTGCAAACAGGGCAAGAAGCATAAAAATGATTTAAGAATAACAGAAATTTTGGAAACTTTTTTTCCTGTCATTTTACTAACGAACACTTTTAGACAAATCAAAAAACATTGTGTCCTACCCATGCCATGTCCATGATTCTGGTGTTTCTAACTCATTTTTCAGTGATTATCACTGTACCTGTCAAAACATCACTGGATCAGAATCCAGTGACCAAGAAAAACCAAATGCATTCCTATGAATGCACACAGAATCAGTGACTTTGGGGGAGAGAGTGGTCTCCTGAGCAAAGACACCATTGGGAACCTGGAAGAATTTACCTAGTGAGAAGCTACCAGTACCAATTCTTCAGGAACATTCCCAACATTCCAAAAAGAACACCTTTCAACTTCTCTGTAAGATTAAAATGAGTGCTCAGTCACTCAGTCATGTCCAACTCTGCGACCCCATAGATTATAGCCTGTCAGGCTCCTCTGTCCATGGGATTTTCCAGGCAAGAATACTGGAGCAGGTTGCCATTTTCTCCTCCAGGGGATCTTTCCAACCCAGGGATCAAACCCATGTCTCTTAGGTCTCCTGCATTGGCAGGGAGGATCCTTACCACTAGCACCACCTGGGAAGCCCCCACATCCGGAATATTTCATGATAAATATCAAACAGCCACAACCAAAAAGCAAAGAAAGCAGCATAATCATGATACCCTTGAAAATTTTGAACTGTAAAATGAACTTACCAGTAATAGATTCTTATCAGGGCTGAAGGCCACAGGAGAAATGAGGCTACAAATGCCAGGATCGGAAGGGCCAGTGTCCCGCCCGCGATCACAAACATGTTAACCACGTCAAGATCCATCCTGCTCTTTAGGTCTGGCTTATACCTAGAGGGGCTGAAAAGAGAGACAGTACTAAAACTCTGTCTCAGGAGACAAGGTGAAAAAGCAAAGTGGAAGTGAGAAGTGAACGACCCAGAATGAAGAGAAGGATCAGGAGGAAAAAAGTGTAGGTAATAAGGAATCCTTGAGATGATCCTAGATTTTTTTTTTTTAAGCTATAAAGGAAATCTTAAGAACAACTGGGGAAATTTGAGTAAGGACTGGTTATTAGACAATATTATTAGACCAGTGATGCGGTGATGAAGTTGCGGTTATGTTTATATGTAAGAAAACATCCTTGTTCACAGCATTTGCTGAAGTAAATATTAAGGGATAAAATATAGTAATATCTGATACTCACTTTTAAAAGTTGAGGAAGGAAAAATGTATATATGTGTTTGTGCATATGTGTATGTGTGTGTATAGAGAAGGGAGAAATAAAGATGGTGAAATGTACTGGTGAACCCAACTGTAACCTTCAACTTTCCTATTAGGTTTGTGATTTTGAAAAACTAAAAGTTAGAGAAGAACAGAAGACCTGAAAGACAGATAAAGACAGACAGAAAGAAAAACAACACATGTGCAGAGGAATGCTTATCTATATAGATAACATCCAGAGAACATCACTGGAAGGTGTCCACGGAACCAGTAATAGCAGTTGCATCTGAGGTGGGGAATCAGGAACCTGGGAGTCAGGGATAGAGGGAAACTTGCTTTTCACAGTCTACCTTTTAAAATCTTTTGGTTATTTATCATGTACACGTATGAAGTGAAGTGTTAGTTGCTCAGTTGCGCCCGACTCTTTGTGACCCCATGGACTATGCCCACCGAGCTCCTTCGTCCATGGGATTCTTCAGGCAAGATTACTGGAGTGGGGTGTCAATACTTTCTCTGGGGGATCTTCCCGACCCAGGGATCAAACCTGGGTCTCCTGCATTGCATGCAGATTCTTTACCATCTGAGCCACCAGGGAAGCCCTATTCATACCTGGCCTATTCAAAAATAAGTAATACACAATAAAAATTTAGGAGGGAACACGTCAGAACATCCAAGCTTGCAGTGCACTTTCTGCACTTTCTGATGTCCTCCCAAAGACGTGGAGGACACATGTGCAGGCTAGAATGGGAGCCCCAGGAGGGCAGGGACCGTATCCCCAGCACCCACACTGGGGCCTGACCCATTTTCAAGGGCTCTAGAAGTCACCTCTCAATTAGAGGTCCCCACCTAGTTCTGTCTCATGAACAACATGGCTTATTTTCCATAGAATTAAAAAAATATTTCAAGTTCCATCATCCTCCCCAGTAGAGAAGATAACTCCTAGGATCTGTTGGTCAGGTGTGGCCGTTTGTCACCTGCGGACTCAGTCACTTGTGTTAAGTGTGCATCTCACTAACATAAAAAGGACTCTTCTTCAAGAAAAAGCATACATCTAACAAATCATGGTCTTCTTTATATTTCCTGTGAAACAGAGAGCTCTGCCCCATACACCTCTATCAGCTGATGTGTACCTCAATTGTATAATGATTTCATGATGGCACGTATGACCTCACGACCACTGAGCGTGGGGGTCAGCCAACTTCTTCCGTAAAGGGCAGATGATATATAGTTCAGAGATGTGGGTCATAGGTCTCTGTCATTATTACTCAAGCTGCCTCTGCAGTCAGACAGAGGCCATACAACATGAAGTGAATGGGTGTGACCATATCCCAGTAAGATTTTATTGTGAAAAACAGGCTTCAGGTTGTAATTTACTAACCTTTGGCACAGTATACCAACCCAACAAACAGGCGTGGTGAGAGCTTTATCCACTATTAATAGGCTGAGGCAACAAAGGCACAGAAAGGTTGAGTAACAGATTTCTGACTTGGACCCACTCTCTTTGCTCCTAATTCCACATTCTCTCTTTTTTTCTTTTCAAATGGCCTTTCCTCAGATTTTGTAACATCTTTGCTGTTAAATAACCACATTCATCGCCCCAAATTTCTTCATGAAGATGTGATGTCTCCATTTAGATGTTTGGTCTCCTATGAGAGGCTTGGTGGAACAAGCTCCTTAGTCTAGAGGACTAAGGCATCTGTAGATGGTCCTTTTAATTCCATACACACTCTATCTGGGGACAGTCCTGAGTCTACAGTGATGAAAGTTGCTGCCTTCTCAGGGGCATGAGCACTGTCTGTGTTTCTGATTCAACTCTTCCCTCAGTTTCTCAGTCACTGTAAACAGCTTTTATCTAGCCCACTTATATCACTCACTGGCCTATTTCTCATCCTAGAGCCAGACCTCCTTGAGGATAGGAATAATGCTACATGTGTGTTCTCAGGGCCTAGAATAGCACAGGATACAAATAAGTTACAAATGAATTAATAAAAGTCAAAGTTACAAAATGGGTTCAATCCTGTTTGTTTTAGGGACAGCCATCCCCAATGATGTTGACTATTTTCTCTTTCAATAATTATAAAACTCCCAAGAGGAGTCACCTATTTAATGCTGGTTACAGTTTATGATGCTAAAAAGGCCTCACTGTCAAGGGGTAAGCAAATTCACAGCAGAGTGAAGGGAATTTTACAGATCTGTTTGAAGACTGTGGGTCACAAAAGAGTTGAAGAAGATGGGGGCTATCAGATTCAAGAGGACTTGTCTTCATCACATAAAGAGTGCTGAGGGTCACCATGAATTCTGAGTCCTGAGCCGCAGGAAGTTAATTACATGATGTTTTTTTAGTCTAGGAATTAGGACATTTTATGCCCAAAGCTATATTATGTCACCGACTCTGACACTGGAGCTGGGAGGTTCAACTTGAAGATATGATCATCAAAAAGAAACCTCATTAAAAAAAAAACCCTCATAGCTTCATCAGTGCCTGCTATGGACATCACAGTCAGTTTGGGGGAAGGTACTATCTGGCTCCACTCTTCATTCAATGGCAGAATAAACTCTTTGCTAAGGAGATTTTGAAGAGCAGCATCAATTTAGCAAGACTTGGACTTGTTACAGAGACTCCTGCACACTTTCCCTGATGAGGTCAAATACAGACAGGCCCTAAGTGAAGACACTAATGTTTTCTGAGGTGTCTAGACAGGTCTGGCCATTATTCCTACCTCTATGACAGCCTTCATCTGGCAAAGGACTTGTCTTTAAAAAGGCAGTTGCCTACTCTGCTGAGGTTTGTTCACAAGATGCTTTATGTGCCCAAGGGGGAAGCTGGGCACAGAAAAACTGAAGCCTTATGAGCCTGGAATCACCAATGACTGAACATCAACTAAGGGGTAGAACATGGGGCATCCCTAAGCATAGGGCCCACACAACAGACGTTTTCAGGATGACTTCAGGGAGCAGAACGCTCAGGGCTATCTGACACCAGGTGACACTCCCATACAACCTGAGAAAGTCATCTCTTTTTTCAGTTCTTTTCCCGCCTTGCTTAGGTCAAAGAGAAACTCTGAGGGTGGTTATTAAATAGCTAGCTAACTCCTGAGCCTTCTGCAGGGAACAGTATCTAGCTATTTAATAACACTGTTTCTTTGTGTCGATTTTTATGGATATTTCCAATTTATGGTAGTGATGCAAATTAATTTAAAAGGAGGAACTAATTTAAAGAAAAATGCTAACTAGGTGATACATGGATCTGGTGAACATCTTGGTGGTGACATACGAATGGCTGCCAGGGTAGATGTGAGTGATGGACTGGCCCCGGGCCAGGGGCGGGGTGCTCTGGCTGACCCTTCCTCACACTGACTGTGAGGCCTTGGTTTCCTCATCTATTAATGAGAACATTCATCCAAAACACCTTTTCTGTCTTTTCCTACTCTGGTGACTTAAAACACTTCTGAAATTATGCCAGATAACTGAAGAGTAGGATCTGGCTTGCCCATCAGGAGAATCTTATTTCCTGTTACATTCTCCCTGGAACCTAAAACAGTATCTGGGAAATATTAATACTTGGTGCTTGGTAATGTTTGAGTATTTGATAACACTTGAATAGACTGAAAAAGAAACATGCACTCGCTTTACATATCTGGTGCATCAGGTAAGGATCCCAACACTTAAAGACAGTGATTTTAGCAGCTCTGAAGCAGTCTGAAACAAGGAACCTCGGGAAGGAGAGCTCGCCTTTATGGCATGAGGCAGGGTAACACTCTCACCCAGAGACCTGAGGCTGCCATGTGCCCTCCCCCGGTATCACCTAAGCTGTGCATTTGAGGCCTTTATCTCTGAATGCAGGGACAAAGATTAATCAGACTCAGATAAACATCTGGACTCAAGTTCCCAAGTTTAGTCTGGGGTGAGAGGTTAGGTGTAACGTGTCACAGTTGTCTTTTAACGTACTCACTGAACTTTAAAACCCGTCTGAGTTCTGACACGTTAAATCTTAAGATATAAAGCAAAATTCCAAACACAGAATATAAAACACTTTCACAGAATCTTGACCTCTCCTAGACATCTACTCATAGTCCATCAGATTTGACAAACTAACGTCCTGGTCTCTTCAAAATAAGGATTATTTTTTAAAAACTATAGCAAAAATACTTTGGCCACCAGATGCAAAGCACTGACTCATTGGAAAAGACCCTGATGCTGGGAAAGATTGAAGGCAGGAAGAGAAGGGGACAAAAGAAGATGACATGGTTGGATGGCATCACCGACTCAATGGACATGAGTTTGAGCAAGCTCCGGGAGTTGGTGATGGACAGGGAAGCCTGGCGTGCTGCAGTCCATGGGGTCGCAAAGAGTTGGAACATGACTGAGTGATTGAACAACAAAATAGCAAAAATAATGATCATGGTCACTACCACCATAGCCAATGACAGATAAGCAACAGCCTCCAAGTACTAAGTGACTATCTCATGCCAGGTTCTGTGTAGATGGTTTATATACATCCTCTCATTTTATCCCCCACAATGCTGAGAGTAGGAAGCACTTCTCCCACCTTCAAGATGGAGGAATAAAGATTAAAGAAGTTAACAAATGCCCCCAAGGTCAC